TTCCAATCTTTTGGTTTTGTGCTACATCTAAGCTATGCTCAGAAACATATCAATGCCTTGTGCTCCTGTGCACTTACGGATTATTAATAGAATCCAAATAATATTTCTGCAATTTTATTGGTGCTGACCTTGCATCTCAGCCTTCCCACCGCTATAAAGTAATTGCCCTCTGCCAATTACTATGAACATTTTCATGGAGAGTGTTCTGATAAGCTTTCCTTTTTGATAGATCGACGTAACGAATTTAAGCGCAGTCATAGTTGGGTAACTATGTGACCTAATTTGTTGAAATTGCTAAATGTCACTGTAAGGTCTGTGCGAATAGTATCTTCTTACGCACTTCTTGCTTGTGGAATAACTTCCAGCTTCTTGCTTTCCTGTTAAATGCAATTTGTAAAAAGACAAACGAAACATCAATTCGCATCTTCTGTTCTCATGAAGCCAGTTTCTTTTTTACTATTACATTTCTCCCGAGTTACGTGTTTATCAGTTACTTTTAATCTCTGTAATGCCTTGCCTCTTTTTTATACTAATGTTCACCGAATACAAGACCCAAGGTAGAGATTTAAAGTGTGTTATTGTATGAAGGTAAAAAAAGGTAAAAATTGAAGTTCATTGGCCGATGAAGAAAAGATAACGTTGTTGTATCCTATCGGTAGTCCTAGATTAAAAAAAAAAGCATCTGGAAGAAAAATAACTGAACCAGCGTTGTTGTAAGACTGATATAGAAGATACATAAAGGAGTATAAACATGCCGCTTCCACAGCCATGAAAAGCTATGTTTTGTATCAGATCCCGCGCGAGCTGGAACTGGATAAATTTTGAAATGTGGCCTGAGTATACGAGCTTGGGTTCCCCACGTTAAATAACTGACCTTGTGCCGCATCCCACCACATTAGAGGGGAGGTGTGCAGTCCGCGAGCATGACAATCTAAGACAACCTTTGTGCTCGATCCGGCCTAAGCTGGGGCTGTGTAAATTTGGACCAGTAATCAGAGTCTACGCCCTATGGTTGCCCACGTTAAATAACTGACCTTGTGGCACATCCCGCCTCAGTGTGAGTGGGATGTCGGTAAATACTAATGCCTTGCAAGCCCCAGATACTAGGATCAAAGTGTTAAGTGGACATGAACACCTGGATTAAGGTTTGTGACTGATCTCGTTCAAGCGGTAGCTGGATAAAAATTGACAACATTTTGACCAGTGTCCCGAGTGTACAAGCTCGGGTTTCCCACGTTAAATAACTGACCTTGTGTCGCATCACACCCCAGTGTGGGCGGTGTGGGTAAACACCTATGCCGTTTCCGCGGCGATTAAAAGCTAACAAAAGTTTTGTGCCCGATCCCGCGTATGATATTTTAACTAGTGGCCCAAGTATATCCGTTCGGACTCCCCATGTTAAATAACTGATCTTGTGTCGCATCACACTCTAGTGGGTGGTAGAGCTTTGGGTAAATACCCGTGCCATTTCTGATTTGTGTCCGAACCCGCATAAGCGGGGATGGCAAATTCTGACCAGTGGCCTGAGTGTAAGTGCTCGTTTTCCATACGTTAGATAACTAACCTTGAGTCGCATCCCGTCTCTTTGGGGAAGCATGTTCTATGGAGCTGGCTTCTGCGGCCAAGATGCAAGAATCAAAGTGTAGTATCTGTTCCGCAGACTTGACATAATTTATGCCAGATCCCGCGTAAGCAGCGCATGGATATATTTTGACCTACGACCTAAGTGTACGCAGTCGAGTTTCCTACGTTAGCTAACTGACCTTGTGTCGCATCCCATCTCAGTGGAGAGACATGAGTAATTAGCCGCCTTCCGCGGTTCAGAATCTATGACCTAAGGGTAGTATCCGTTCAGCGTATATGACCAGCTGAGACAAGCCACCGCTTATTCAGCCACCGCTTACGAAGTAAGCGGTGGCTGAATAAATTTTGTTAAATAACCCAAGTGTAATAACGGACCGTAATAACCGACCTTGTGCGAATCCAGTCCCAGTGAGGAGACATGGGTAAATAGCTGCCTTTGCGGATAGCGTCGCATCTGAGGAGAATTATAGTTTGAAGTGCCCAGTCCTGGGACATCACAACCGACGGTTGCATGTGCTTGAGTAATTTTTCTACCTGGTCCGAGTATATGACTAACCTTCTGTCGCATCGTGTCTCAGTAGGGAGTCATTGGTAAATAAGTGCCTTCAGTGGCTTCTGTCTCCGGACAGAAAATAATACTTTGAGGTGCCAGACCTTGGGGAAGAATTGCTCCGAGGCTGCACTAACTCATTGCACTAGAGACAAGGATAGTTGCTCGCAATCCTGGGTAGCGCAACAGAGGTTTACGAGGGCTTGGAGTATTTTTGTATTCGTACCTGGTCTAAATGTACGCGAACGGGTTCCCCACGTTATCCCTGACCTTGTATTGAATATACTCTCAATGGGTAGTCATGGGAGAATAACAGCGCTCCGCAGCTCAGATGACTAAGATCACAGTGTAGTATCTGTTCCAGCAGTTCCAGCAGCATCTGACTGCTGCCCACGGATTCAGTCAGTAGAAGCAGTTCTAGCTAGACAGCTGACATTATCTTCAAATTGCCATCGGCCGTCTCTCCAGTAATCTCCAGCTGTCTCCAGATAGGCCACCAGCTCCTGCCACTCCAGGAATCCTTGTCAACGACATGCAATAAACTGTCTTTTATAGGGCAATATGCTTCAGTGATTTCTGTTACGTATTTCCAACGTATAAAGATATGAAAAAAAGTAGGATTCACGCAGATAGGAACAGACGAACAGGGGCCGACGAACAACAAGAATAAGATTAACTTTTGTATATGACAAAATACAACATATAGGAAGAGTCTGGTGTGAGAGATGTACAATTGATAATGGATGTCAAACTTTTGTTTCGGAAATTTGGAGCTCGAATATTCGTGATGACTAAGTTTCTGTAGAATATTCACAAAAGTTAGTTGTTCTTTCTTCCGTAATATAAAATGTAAGATTCCGGAACAATATTTTGGTTCCGTTTGCCCTTGGTGACAAGAATTGCATCCGAGATTAAAGTACGATGATTTCTTTGTATTTCTTTGGTGATGATGTTCCTACATGCTTTACACATTATATACTCAAAGATGGCTATTGCCAGTTATCTCCAGGTGTCCGAGGGCACGTTTCTCTATGTGGTACATGAGAAAATTTGGGCCAAGTCATACATGTGGAGGAAGAGCTGTTCATGCGTGGACACAGACGAAAGAATAAAGAGTCTTCCAACCAAAACGATTAATTAAAACATCCCTAAGAATCTGTTTGATTTTCTTTTAAATTTATCAACAAGAATCAATAAGTGCAGGTTGTTATGTGTGGAGCCTTCTGACATCCTCTTTATATGTGCTTCAAGATTTTCACTTCTCTGATGAATGGTGAAGGACACGTCCTGCCATTCCACTTCTTTCAACCATAGCACCAGCTGAATGCTGCTGGCTACACTGTAGCGTTCGAAACATTTGTGAAACCCTGGAACTTGTACACGATGGAAGGCTGTATGCGTTTTAGAACTAGTCACAAAGTTGTGTCGACCCATGATTCGATGAATCTACAAGTCTTGCATTCTCTCTCTCTCTCTCTCTCTCTTTCATATCTCCCGACCGGGGATCGTGAAATGTTTTGGGGGGTTCGGAGATGAAAGACATCAACGAAGATAATTTCAACTCATCTAGTTTATTAATGTCGACGTGTATGTCGTCTAACTAGCCAGTGGAGTCGCTCTCTCTCTCTCTCTCCAGAGGGGAGCAGTTTGCTGGGACGAACGAAAACACGTCTACATTGTTCGATGGATAAGAACCAACTCTCTGGAAACCCTTTCTCTATCTATCGTTCTCGCGCTGGACCAGCCAATCAAAATCGACTTCCTTATTTTGTCTTGTATCTGATCACTAAGGTCAACCTGAGGAGGTCAGAGCAGAGATACGCTTCCTCCTAAAAATAAGGAAAAGTCTGAAGATAATGACTGACATTGCATTTAAACTTTGTGTTGTATAGCCAACTTCTGGCTGGGAGGTCTTGTTCACTGCGCCAATACAATTTTGTATAGACCCTTGGACGTCGGTGATTGCTCGATAATAAAGTTACATTCTTCTTTCTCTCGTCGTCTCCCGGTCGGTGGTCATTAGTTGTTTTCGTTCACAGATAAAAGCCCTTCAAATAAGTGAATGTTAACTTATCTAGGTTATCAACGTTGACGAATACATCTTCTAACTAGCCAGTGAGGTCGCTCTCTCCCTCCAATGGGGAGCAGTTTCAGTCCCGAAAGTCAACACGTCTACATTGCTTGACGGGTAAGAACCGACATCCTGAAAAAAACACTTTTATATATCTCTATCATTCCCGCGCTCGTTCAGCCAATCAAAATCAATTTCAAACCTAAACTATATCACCCTTTCTTTCTTCCGTGCAAACCAAAGATGTATCCATTTTTTTCGTTCTTGTTAAACGATTCCTATATTTTACATGGCATGTCTTATCAAAATTGATGACTTCGGAGCTAAATAATCGTCTGCGGTCGCTCTCTCACAGACGTAACGTTGCCTCCCTCTGTCTTTTTTATAAATACTTTCATGGCAACTAATTCGAGGAGCTGCTTTCCCTGGTTCACAATCTTCATGAATTTAAGCGTTCTACTAGGCTGGCATCTCGCTCTCACCCTTCCACTGTCGAAATTGTTAAATGTAGCCGTCTCTTCTACTCCAATAGCTTCATGTCTCGCATTTCTCGCCTGTGGAACTCCCTCCCCTTTTCCTGTTTCCCTAATAGCTATGATCTCCAACTATTCAAATATAATGTCAAGGGATCTCTCCAGATACCTTGATCTATCCCCTATCCTTCCATTCATCCTTTCCTCTATCACTCCTATTTGCTATCGCTTCAACTCTCTGTAACCCCTTGCGTGCTAGTGGCTTCCCGCTTTGCTTGGGGGGAAAAGTATAAAAAAATGAACTGGAGAATTCTGATATACCATGAAAAATAAACCGAACCAATCTATCTATCTATCTATCTATCTATCTATCTATCTATCTATCTATGCATCTGTCCGCCGGTTGATATCTATCTATCTATGCATCTGTCTGCCGGTTGATATTTATCTATCTATCTATCTATCTATCTATCTATCTATCTATCAGCCGGTTGATATCTATCTATCTATCTATCTATCTGTCAGCCGGCTGATATCTATCTATCTATCTATCTATCTATCTATCTATCTATCTATCTATCTGTCAGCCGGTTGATATCTATCTATCTATCTATCTATCTATCTATCTATCTATCTATCTATCTATCTATCTGTCTATCTATCTATCTATCTATCTATATCTATCTATCTATCTATCTATCTATCTATCTATCTATCTATCTATCTATCTATCTGTTCACCGGTTGATATCTATCTATCTATCTATCTATCTATCTATCTATCTATCTATCTATCTATCTGTCAGTCTGTCTTTTCTAACTAGCTGTTCTATCTATCTTTTCTCTCTATCTATCTATTCTATCTATCCATTCTTTCTATCTTTTCTATCTCTCTATGTATTTATCTGTTTTATCTATCGTTTCTTTCTATCACTCTGTATATCTATCTTTTCGATTTTTAGTGAACTATTGTATCGTTTCTCTCATATTCCGTTTATTTTTCTCACATTTCTTTTTTTTTTTTCTTTTTTCTATCTTTCCTTCGTTTCTTGTCTTTACTCCCAATTCATATATTCTCTTTAACGTGAATAGATTTCAACCCCACCGCTAGTTCTTCGAGCATTATGTACATTTTGCCTTGTTTAAATTCTGTTTTCACACATTCTTTACGCCAATCATCTATTCTTTTATATCTATCTATTCCTAAGACGAACAATGAAGATTTTAAGCTCTGTTCGTTACGTATATTGGTGAACGTTAATTCTTATTGACTCTTTTATTCACTTGTACGATATGTAAATATTATTTCAGGATTAATCGTCTAATCTCTTACGATGCCATATGAAATGTATTCACTTTGCTACCAAAATTCCCGCCTCTGGTATCTTTCTTCTAGAATTTTCCACTTTTTATTCAGGAGATAACTTTAAACAAAACATGGCGGCTAGAGTTAATCATTGCCAAACTTTCAAATAGAACTCACGTTCAAATCTCGTATAATTCTCGTCTCGTGGAACGTTATCTTTGCCATTTTACCCGTAGGTTACACTGGTAAATCGTTAGTTGTTTTTTTTTATTGTATTTAATATTTCTGTTTCTAGTAAACAAAGTGAAAGAGAATGTTGCTGATTATAGATTTTCTTATACTGAATTTAAAATAAAACAATCCCAAACCAGACACATGAAAAGTGAATAAATTTAACCATACAATTTCGTCTTCGTCTTAAAGTCAATTACATCAAATTTCCGAGCAAACGCACGTTAATATGGCGTCTGTTTGCTAAAGGAAATATTTCAGTTAAATAATAAATAGTACTATGTATTTAAGAGAGTACTTCAAGACAAATTTATGTAGTCATAAACTTTACAGAAAATAATTATTGATGATTTCGCTTGAATATAAATGTTTGATTTCTGTAACTGTCGCAGTTTTAGTCATTGTCGCTGTAGATTTTTTTCCAAGCCCTTTCAGAACACGTTAGATGTGTTCTAATTAGACCAACACAGAAAAGGCACATTTTTCTGTACGAAGACATTCGTAAATATCTTGGATTATAATACATGAAGGATTCTGTGTCTGATATGTTTGACGTTAATCCATAGCTTCTGTGTATTCAACAGCGTTCGTACAGCGACATCTACGGAGCCAATCACTATTCATCTTTTCCAATTGGTTTGGGAATATTACATGCCTTCAAATCACCCTGATCTGGTCCCTGTATGGCTTTTTATAACTAAGAAAAACTCATTCGTCCGAATTGTATTCACTGAAGAATGAATGACACGAGGGTCGATTCTCAGGAGTCGCATAACTAACCAAATAAGGATTTATTATATGATTTTTTTCCGTTTTTCTTGCCTATATAGTTTTCATCAAACTTCAAAATATTGACTGAATGAAAAAAAGGCATTGTAGAATTTTCAGTTGCTACTTTTGGTTAGTTATGTGATACCTGAAAACCGACCTTCCGCCATTCTTTCTTCAGTGAATACAATTCGGACGAATGAGTTTTTCGTGGTTATAAAAAGCGATACAGGGACCAGATCAGGGCTTATTTGAAGGGATGTAATATTCAAACTAGTAAATGGATAAATAAGCTCATCGTCTCCTTTGGTTTTCGTAGCAGGTAGATTAACCCTGTGTGTAATTGCTAGACTAACGCAAAACTGGTTTTGAATTAAGAATTCCCATGTCCTAAATTGCATATTAAACCATATCAGAGAGACAGTCCGTTTTGCTATTACGCGTCTTAAGAGTTTGTTTCATTGACTTGACGGTTTTGAAAACCAGCAAAGCACAAATTCTAGATAGACAAATAAACATACAATGAAAAAACTGATATATATATATATATATATATATATATATATATATATATAGATAGATAGATAGATAGATAGATAGATAGATAGATAGATAATGAACAAATTGACAGAGATAATGAAGAGTTAGATAGATAGATAGATAGATAGATAGATAGATAGATAGATATAAAATGAATATTAATAGATAGATAATGAACAAATTGAGATAGATAGATAGATAGATAGATAGATAGATAGATAGATATAAAATGAATATTAATAGATAGATAGATAATGAACAAATTGAGATAGATAGATAGATAGATAGATAGATAATGAACAAATTGAGATAGATAGATAGATAGATAATGAACAAATTGAGATAGATAGATAGATAGATAGATAGATAGATAGATAATGAACAAATTGAACAGATAATGAAGGGATAGATAGATAGATAGATAGATAGAAAATGAACAGAATTAAATGAATAAATATTTTGATAGATAGATAATGAACAGACTAATATAGATAATAAACAGAGATAGTTATACGTACTGAGGAAGAAAGAAAGAAAGAAAGAAAGAAAGAAAGAAAGAAAGAAAGAAAGAAAGAAAGTATATTAGATAGATAGGGAAGAAACTGTCATTAACTGTCGGCGATTAATACATATGAGCTGTGACATAGATAAATAGATGATAACCGTTTCCTGATAAGGCAATTTTCAGCATTCATTGACTTCTCATCCAGTGCCAAACGAATTACATTTTACTTCACTCCCTGGCTATTGTCATGGAATCAACGTGGAATTCATTGACCAAGTATTCAATGATTTTGCCTCTTGAAATTTATAAAATCTTTCTCCCAAAATAGTTCTTCGGGAAAATAGATTTGTTAAGTCCATTAGCGGTTAATGCTCTTCCCACTGTTAACTGCCTTGCTCTTTTTGTGAGTAGTGTGTGCTGTCGCCATATTAAGTTATTATTTTTTCTTAGAGTTACCCATTTTAGTTTTTGCTGTTGTTGAAAGTGATGTAGTGTCTACTATCTCGCACAGTGCTTTGCATGTAATTCTGTAAATTCCGTCTACGTGGTTCGATGAATGATGGTACTCTACACACTTCGCCCACTCGAAACCATGTTTAAGCACCTAACTGACAAAGCGGCTGTATACAGCCGACAGTTTAGATTGACCGATAGATAGACGCCTTGGTCTGTATGCATTATGTATTTAAGTAAATTATGTGGGACATACGGCCGATAGTTTTCGTAGCAAATATGTTATACAGGGTGGATTTGTGTGACCAGACATTTGGCCAACAGACATTTGGCCGACGGGCATTTGACTGACGGACATTTGGCCGACGGACATTTGGCCGATGGATATTTGGCCGTCAGACATTTGGCCGACGAATATTTGGCCGACGGATATTTGATCGATGGATATTTGGCCGATGAACATTTGGTCGAAGGACATATGGCCGACGAACATATGACCGACGGATATTTGGCTGATGGACATTTGGCCAACGGATATTTGGCCGTCAGACATTTGGCCGACGGATATTTGGCCGACGGACATTTGGCCGTCGGACATTTGATCGATGGATATTTGGCCGTCGGACATTTGTCCAACGGATATTTGGCTGATGGACATTTCACCGAAAACGTACAAGTAATAATAGTCACAAGCAATACTTTAATTATTTTAATTAGCAGTATTATAAAGTAGTATAGGACTAATATTAGGTTGGTGCAAAAATAATGACGTAATAATGTCGTTTTTTGACGTATTTTTAACGCCAAAAACGACATTCTTACGTCATTATTTTTGCACCAACCTAATAATTACCACTGAATACCAAGAGATTAAATTACTAAATCTAAATTTAAAGTTAAAAGTTTTCTTATTTCAATATTTGTTTATTGAAATTAGTATTTGGGTAAAAAGTAGCACCAAATTATTTAAATTCGTATTTACCAGTAAGATAACAGCTTGTTCATCCTTTTAAGATAATGATCATTAAAAGCGAAATTGAAAGATGTTTCATGTCGTAAAAGCTTAAGATTTTTGCTATAGTAAAATATGCTTTTTTTCAAAACACTTATTACCCTACAGTAATATTTAAAGTAAAATAAAATATATACAGAATAGATTTTTTAAAAAGTTAATACAGTAAATAAATATAAATATATGTTGCACATTGCGATAAAGTTTATGACATATATGTAAGTACGCACTACATTTTCGGTTAAATGTGCGTCGGCGAAATGTCCGACAGCCAAATATCAATCGGCCAAATGTCCGGCGGCCAAATTTCCGACGGCCAAATGTCCATCGGCCAAATGTCCAACGGTCAAATATCTGACGGACAAATTTCCATCGGCAAAGTGTCCGATAGCCAAATGTCCGACGGCAAATGTCCATCGGCAAAATGTCCGACGGCCAAATGTCCGACGACTTAATGTCAGACGGCCAAATGTAAGTCGGCCAAATGTCCAAGCATCATACTTAACATCCGAATGACCTCAATGAAAACGTTTCCTAACAATATATATATTTTAGTAATACTGCTAATTTAAATACTTAAAGTATTGCTTGTTATTATTTCTACTAGTACTTTTTCGGTGAAATGTCAGCCGGCAAAATGCCCGTTTAGCCGAATGTCTCTTGACCAAATGTCTGACGGCCAAATGTCCGAGTACCGTGGAGTTGTTAAACGAAGAGGCAACTGGTTTTGAATTCAGAATTTTGTTTGTTCTAAATTGGCTGCTATACAAAATCAGAATCATCTGGCTTCCCCTTACGGGAGTGAAAAGACGTCTCGTCTACAGTCACATTCTCATAGTCGTGTCGTGGCTCCCATTTGTCTTTTCTACAAATATTTTCATGGCGACTGCTCTGGCGAGCTACTTTCACTTGTGCCCCAACTGCACGAATTTAAGCGTGTTACTAGGTTGGCAGATCGGTCCCACCCCCTATCACTGTCGAAAGAATTAAATGTAACCGCCTCTTCTACTCCAACAACTTCTTCTCTTGCACTTCCCGACATTGTAACTCCCTTCCTCTTACTTGCTACCCTGATGGCTATAATCTTCAAATATTTAAATTCAAAGGCAATCGACTTCTTCTTATGCCTTGATGCTGATCCCCGTCTTTCTCTATATCCTTTCTTCAAACACTCTCTTTACTCTTACTCTCTGTAACCCCTTGCGAGCTAGTGGCGCTATCACCTTGCTTGGGGTGAAATGATTAAAAAAAATGTGAAACATAAAACTTGTCTTAAACGAGTCGTCTAGAGTTTGAACTCCGTATGTCAATTTGTATTCACCCGATGATAATCTCATTAATAGATAATGTGCATTTAGTATATACGATAAAAGGGACATAACTCTTTCGTACTTAAACGCAGAACAGATGCAAGTGACGTTTTCAATAGAAATTTGTGTTTGCCTTGAAAAAAATGATGACTCAAATTTGAAACAAATAATGAAATAAAATTCCGTTTAAGCCTTAAAGCATCTATGAAATGAAACAAAAATAGAATAAAGATAGAAATTAATGTTCCAAAATACATATTTCGAAATAAATAGCTTCTAATTTGGCCTGGCTCCCCGCCCACCAAATGATATGGAAAACAGTTTCGTAAATTATACGGACGACAAGCAGATCTGAAAATTAATTAAAACACAAATTAAATCATTATCAATGAATGTTATTGACACTGAGAGTTATTTTAAACATGGTCATTATTATTGGTAATGATAGGAATTCTGAAAACACGGAAAGTGTTAGAATTTCTCTTGATGTGGGAGGTGTTTTCATTCTGTTTTAGGGCTGAGGAGGAGATTTTTTTTGTGAGTGCTGTAATATAAGGCAACAACTGTAATGAGTCCAATATAGTTTGAATTTTGAAAGGATGGAAAGAAGGGATGAAATAAAAATGGACTAAAATAGAAGACATGAATAAATGCAAATTCATTTGAAACAAAGAAAGAAAAACTAGATTAGTTATAGAAAATAATTTGCAAAAAATATAATCTTGAAAGGAGGAAGTTATGAAACGAAAATTACAAGGTAACCAAAAACTCCTTCCTGTCTTTTTATCTATTAGAAAAAAAAAGACGTATACAGAAAATTTAACATATCGTTAATCCTCATGATAATCCCCATCGATATTCAGAACATTTTCCAACTTGCCTCGAGCTGCGCAAAGCTCCGGCTGTAAAAATCAGGTGTCCTAGAGGCAATGAATCTGTGAGTACCTGTCGTAAGTCTGTCTCTTTTACTAAGGCTTTCCCACAAAGACGGTTGCCCAGGGAATGGAAGAGGTAGCAATCTTTTGGCGCAAGAGCCTGGAAGTAAGATGGATGGCACAATGTTTCACAGCGAAGTTAGCGTATGCTGATCCCTGGCCACCTACCACAGGTGAGGCCAGTTATGGAGGAACAGTATACCCTAGCGATTAACCAATGTTGACCTCATTCTGCTTCAGTGCCTGCCGCATACGTTGCAACTGCTGCAAATACAGGTCCGCAGTGATGGTTTGATCGGTTCGTAACCGAGGATAGTGCACCACATGTCGATTCGTCCACCAAATAGAGAGCATGATCCTGTGTGGGTGTAGAGGTAATCTTCTTGCGTGGGGCGCCATATTTCGACTCGTCCACCAGATAGAGGGCATGATCCTGCGTGGGTCTAAAGGTGATCTTTTGTGCAAGGCAACGCATTTCGACTCGTCCACCAGATAGAGAGCAGGATCTTGCTTGGTTGTAGAGGTGCACTTCTGGCGTGTGTCACTACATTTCGACTTCTCCACCAGATAGAGGACATGATCTTGCGTGGGTATAGATATGATCTTGTGGTATGAGACACAGGGTCGTGTGGTATCAACCAATGTCTGGCTCGCTTAGTAGTGTCGTACATGACCACTTTTCTTCACTGGTCAGCACCTGATCAAAATGGGGATCTTGTAGTGCCAAGAAAGCAACGAGAAACAGGCTTCGTTGTACTTGTTGGGTTCCAACAATGTGAGAAGTTCCCACTTGTACGCTTTCTTTATGCGGTTCAGGTGAAGTTTGACTCTTTCTTCCGAAACTTGGAAGCTTTCGGCAAGCTCACCACAGATTTGTCTGTTGCTCTCCTTCAATTCCGCTTTCAAGGTTTCATTATCCAGCGCCTGTAGCCGTGCACTGCGTGTTTATTCACAAAAGGAAAATCTCCCGACCTGAACTTCTGAATCCAGTACCTGGTGGCGTGTTCACTCTTATCATTATCCCCAGTGGCTTGACGTATTCGGCTACTTGATGCAGTTGGAGGCACGTCCATCTTAAAGTTATAAAGCAGAAAACCCCGAACAGTTTTCCTCGCCGTTGCTTGAACTATGGCTGATGTGTGTGCGGAACACACCTACATTTGTCAAAAACAATGCATGCAATCCAGTTTACACCGCTTTCGGAGCAAGTGACACATTCTTTTACGTATCTTCCCATACGACATATAAAACGGAAAGGAGGTTTGGTTACCTTATAGAAAGAAAGAAAGAAAGAAAAAAGAAAGAAAGAAAGAAAGAAAGAAAGAAAGAAAGGAGGCAGGGACACATAGGAGTAGACTGATGAACAAATATCTAGGTAATATTAAAGAAAGAAAGAAAGAAAGAAAGAAAGAAAGAAAGAAAGAAAGAAAGGAAGCAGGGACACATAGGAGTAGGCTGATGAATAAATATCTAGATGATATTAAAGAAAGAAAGAAAGAAAGAAAGAAGGACAATCTTAACAAGAAATAGACAGGAAAAGACTTAAAAAAGAAAAGAAGAAATGAATGAAGAAAGAAAAAAGAAAGAAAGAAAGAAAAGAAAGAAAGAAAGCAGGGGTACATAGGAATAGACTGATGAATAAATATCTAGGTGATATTAAAGAAAGAAAGAAAGAAAGAAAA